TCGGACGCTTAACCGACTGCGCCACCCAGGCGCCCCACCAAGCCCTTCTTAAAATCTTCCTTCTCAGTCTGCTACTTCCGGATCCCTGCCGTCTCCCCTCTCTCCTGCCTCCCTGCGGCTTCCCCTCAGACTCCTTTGCCGGCTGCTGTTCCTCCTCAGGGCTGCCCGCCTCCGCGGCCTCTGGTTCAGCCTACACTTTGTGCTTGTGGCCGTCTCGACCACGTTCCTGTGCTCCCGCTGAGTTGTTCGCAGCTGGCTGGTCACCGGCCACCTGAACTCACAGCCCCTCGACGGTTGGCTCCTCTGTGGTCCTCTCTCATCGTAGTTGTTCAGGCTCAAGACTTGCATTGCTTCAGGGAGTGTTATCCCTGACCAAGAAGTAATTCCGTTCTCTCCACTCCCCGGCTGCCGGGCCCCGTCAGTCTTACCTCTGGCATATGCTTCGCTTTCACCCGGCCCCTGCCCAGCGTACGCCTCATTCTCTCCTCTGAGCTCTTCCGATAGCTTCCTGAATTAGTCGGCTGGCCTCCAACCTCTTCTTGCCCCTGCCCGCCTTCACAATGGCCACCGGAGCCAGGCATCCAGAAGGCAGGTCTGACGACGTCACGCCTGTCCTCACCGCTCTCGCCTTGTGCGTCAGGTGAAGTGCCCGTGCGGCCTGACGTTGGCCCTTTCAGAGCGGTAATACGATCGCTTACTGATGATACATACTTTAGGCCAGACCTGTGGACTATAGTCACGTACGCTTTATGTGGCCTGTGTGGCGGCCTTGCAGGGGAGATAGCAGTTTGTCTCTTTTGTAGACAAGAGGACTAGTTCCGAATAGGGCTGGCCTGCCCTAGACTTCGGGCCCTCTCCTCTGTCGGGGGCCGCTTTATGTCTTAGTCTGCACTCTGCTCTCATCCTGGGTGCGGGGGGGGGGGGGGGGGGGTGTCTGATCTCCTTCGCAGCCAGTGATCATCTTCCTCATCCGTTCAGGCTCAGCCAGGGGTGCTGCTGCCTCTCTGAAGCCTTCCCTGAAAGCCACTCAGCGTTGACCTTTCGTTCTCTCCCAGTCACTGGCAGCTTTGTTCTGGTCACGTAGTCACTCTGCCTCGCTTTGTGTTGTGACTGGTTCTCTGCGCGCCCGTCCCCTGGAGTATTCAGTCTTTCTAGTGTGGAGGAGCCGTCCCTGCTCGGTTGTTTGGGCGTCGCTTGCAGCCTGCCTGTGCTACATGCACATCAACGGACACAGGAGGGCTGAAGTCCCTTGAAGGGAATTTATCCAAAAGGGAAGCGAAGAATGGTGCCCTGTGGTTCTTCATAGCAAAGCATGGTCCTTTGCTGGCATGAGGCACTTGTATGTCTGTGCCGACTCTTCTCAGACACAACTTTGAGGTCAGCGTATAGCATCCCATTTTCTGTAGTTCAATCCGGTCGACTGTAGAAGAGGTATTCCTCCACGTCCATTCACTCGGTACTCGATGCCGTCCTCCCTGCGCCCCCGGCTCCCGGGCACCAGGAGCGGGCCGCGGCATGGTTGGCAAAGATAGGCGGGGAAGTAAAGGAGGCAGGACTTGGGATCACGTAGGCAGACCTCCCAGGATAATAGAAAGGGATGCCCAGCCAGGCCTCGGGGGGACTGGGATATCACCGGCGGGAATCAGATGACACACTCCACCCAGCAGGGTTTCCGTGTTCCTCTGCCGTCGGCACAGCCACTTCCTGTCTGGCACTCGCTCCCCTGCCAGCTTCTCTGTGTATCTTGGGTCGTGTTCTCCGAGAGGGGATCTTCAGTGGTGCCTCCCTGCTGCATCTTTGGCCAGAGCTCTCGGGCCAGGCCTCCCTATAGACTGCCAGTCTAGTGGTCAAGTGCCCCCAAAGAGGACATAGCCGCCTTTCCCGGAGAAACTGCCAGGAACTACTTCTGTCCGCTGGGTGCTGTGGGAGGGCTCAGGTGTGTAGCGCATGACCCCCATACACAGTGTTGTGCCCGCTCCCACAGGGCATGGAAAGACGGAGGAGACACCGTCCCTGCTTAAAGTCTGAGAAGGTTATCGTAAATAGGTATCCGTAACCATGGTGCCAGGACCATACCTGGTGTTCATGGAAGTGTAAGTTTCCTCTATTAATTGATAACCTGTGTGATCACATATGTGCTTTCCAGATTGGCCCGACTTAATCTGTGTTTAATTTGCATCACACCTTTTGACCCAGTTTTCTGTTAAATAAAATACACAGGGTAAAAATAAGATAAGTAAGATCACAGCTACATGTTGACCCAGATCCATTAGTGAATAGTTTTGAAATCTCCATTATTTTTTTATCAAACCTTAGTAGAGTCAGTCTGTCATTGAAATGTCATTCCTCAAAATTGCAGTAATAAAAACACAATTTTTAGTAGTTATTTTATAACCCATAGGCCATGTAATATATATCCAGTCTCTTCTACCCAGCCCCTGCTCTTCCAGTTTTATATTATTTTCTTTCTTTCTGTGAGTTACTGTGAATTACTTTTTTTTTTTAGAGAAATTAAGTTTTGTTTTGTTTTGTTTTGTTTTGTTGTTTTAATAGAAATTCCGGGATTTCTTTAATCAAAATGAGACCAGCGACCCAACGAGGGATACGTGCGTGATCCTTACAGTAGAAGGGCGAACATTTCCAGTGGACATCTTTTATCTACAAAGGTTTGATGACCCTTGCCTTTTTAATGATGGTCGTCAGCAGACCTGGCCTGTGTTGTGGAACAAGAATCAATTGCATCCGCTCCCAGCCCCAAGGGCAGTATGCCAGGCTGGGGAGAGGGGCATGTTTCGTGTCTCCTGTCACTGGCAGGATGTTCTGGAGCCCTGCTCGGTGTCACTGCTCGATGCGTTTGAACTCTTGACACCGGTGGGCAGATTTCTGGGCGTCTGTGGTCGCGGTCTCAGTGGGAAAGAGCCAAGGGGTAACGAGATTACAGGGAGGAGGCCCGGTGGTCTTCAGAACGGGGGTTTCCCAGGCTGCCTGTCTGCGAGAGCAGCAGTAATGATTTGAATCATTTGCTTCTTCGCTCTCTTCATCTTTGCAAGAAGGCCTGGCTGACATGGTTGGGAGGAGCCCCCTTGGATGGGAAGGGTCCATCCTAATGCCTACACCTAGTCACTGCACAGACGAACACCAGGAGCCTGGCGCAGTGGTTGATAAGGCCAGAGCTGGGAGTCTGACTTCTGAGTTGTTCTCGCCGGACGGCGCATCCATTAGCTTCGAGTACCCCACTCAGACTTGCTGCCAGTGATCAGGAGGGAAAATAGAAAGAGTGTGGAATTTAGCACTGGATCCATAGCCCTCAGTTTTCACTGACCAGCCATCTTTGCATGCTAAAGATAGCACATTTATTTGCATGAGTTTTTATATCTTTGCAGGTAAAGCTAAGAATCATGGTATACATGTAATTATGGGTTACTTTTTTTTAATGTTTATTT